CGGTAGTAGTACTAGTAATACTACTCTNNNNATATATATATATATATATATATATATATACTATATATAATATATATATATACCCAACAGTATTTCTTAAACATAAGTAAAAAAATTTTATATACTTGACAAATGTTCACCTTGATCTTGTATATTTTGGTTTTTCTCCAGTAGGGTTTGATGACGTAGAATTCCCCATGGCAGATTCTGTCTCCAAAGTGAGCATCTTTAGAGATATTTTCCCCAAATAATCTGCCTGGAAATAAATAATTCAGAGATGAGAAATGTGAATATTGAGATTCTCATAAGGACTAACATTAATGAGTATAAAGCATCCAACTAATCACGATATACAGGATTAGGTATAGAATCATAAGCATAAATATTTAATTAGTTACTCACAAATAACTATACCAAAATACACAAATTTCTTGTTTAAAAATTAACACTTAAGTCTCGACAAACCATCAACTTAACAACCGATAACCATAATACCTTCTACTCCATCTCTATTATATCTATTTCCATGGCCTGCTTAAGATAATCAATTGTTCAAATGATCATTCAGCCAAACTAAATCTCTTTAATAAGTGCAATAAGTTTATATGGATGGGATGCGTACTGAGCCCACTCAATAGTTAAGCTCAGAGCGTGCAAGCCGGATTCTTCCAAAACAATTAAAGAGGTTGGGTGGGTTAGTAAAATTATTCATTAGTTCATGCAAACAATAAAGTCGGATATCAATCATATAAAAAGAAAATGTTGGGCCTGTCAAAGTTTACAAGCAGTTCAGTTAACTTATTTTATTCAGAGATATTTGTTTTCTCAACTGGTTCACTAAGCTGATCTCCAATTCTTTGATTCACTCCCAGCATATGCCATCCCAAACCTACACAAGAGTAGATTTTCTTTTCTTTGCTTATTTACACAGTTTGCCATGTCAAGGGTTGGTGGAGAGAGGTTTTATGGCAGGCAAGTCTGTGACATATAGAATTTCTCCCCAGTTAACAACTTGTAAAATCAGGAGGAACCACAGAAATCCATTCCAGTTTTCTGCACGACCAAATGAATAAAAACTAGTCTTTATTTGAAATGCAAAACATCAACACACTGAAACAGCTCTAACATTAAACCCCCATACATTAAAAAACATTAAAAAAATATCATCCCGAAGTTGAACAACTGAGAAAGGAAAAATAAAGAAAATGAATGGAACCAAACAAGAATGGCAACAGAACCATCTATGTGGCATTATGTGTACACATGACAAATACCTAGGATGCATGTAGCATGCACATGTAAATACGTAGGTATACGTGCATGATTATTGATGCATGCATGTCCATACGCACAAGACTCAAATAAAAGGAAGTTATTTGTAAAAGAAATATTTATCAAAAACATTATGTATGACACGATTTAGAAGCCAAATTAAAAACTTTCAAGACCATGTTATTTGAAGGGATTTACCCACTAAAATTATGTAGGGCTTCAACGATTATCTGCTAACCAGAGCAAATAAGTAGTGCCTGTCTCCCACAATGCTGACATATACACTTCTATCTTACATACCTGATTGTATGATACGATTCAGTGTGAACCCATTTCTAGATTCAAATTGTCATATTATCATTCCAAATAAGACTTCCAAGTTGGCAAATTTAATAGGGACATGAAACTGTAGAATGAGATGAAATTTCTCAAGACGAAATGAAAACGAAGAAGAAAAGGAAGGGAAACCAAAAAAACAATCACTAGGTAGCCACAACTGAAAATATAAATTATAGATTGACAAGGAGAGAAAGGAGAACCTGGTTCTCAGCATTAGTAAAGATCTTCTCTTCGAAAATTGCAGCAATTGTCGTGAGTACGGACAGTCCAATGGGATCACCTGCTGGAAAGTGCCTCTTAAGAGTTTCCAATCTGCAAATTTAAAACAGTAAAGGCAATCAACTAGAGCAGTGTGGTTTATGGATCAAGCCATTTAATATTTAAGGAAAATCCTCCAATATCCAATGAAGACCTGACATTAATACTCATTAGCCATCAATCCCGAAGACTCACTCCCGAAAAAAAAAGTGTACACATTACACCATGATAAACTGATCAAAACAACAGCGACTAATCAAAGGCCTAAAACAACACCTGCTGATAACAACCAGACGTGACCCAGGGCCTTTTGAATGCCCTGCCTTGCCTTGCAGCAGGCTCAGAGCCACCACCAAAGTTCCTCACAAGCCGGAGAACGGGACTGAACGGGGTACCTTTCTAAGCTAAGGAATTTATACTATTAACTAAATCGTATTCTAGGGTGGCCTTGGAAACCAGGGAGCTAATACAAGAATGATCCCCATTACCACAGCTCCTAAGGGAGATGGAACCCTCCTAGCTACGCTACCCACCGGCATCCCTTTGACCTAGGGGGAAAGGCACTACTCACTTGAAGGTAGGGCTACAGCCAATTCAAGATCCTTCTATAGTTGCAGATCGAGATGAATATGGACTGCACGCGCCGGTAGTAGCCTTTCTCATACAACGAATAGACGAAGCTTATTCTCCGGTCAAGGCTTGATCCAACCTCTTGATTGTCGTTCTGAGAACGATTCCGCCATTGCATATGGAACAATGTTGCGCTGGCTGATAATAGTGGCCGAAACCAATATTAATGTTTCGGTATTGCCTCTGGTATTGCTCAATCCTACTCTCAATATTTAAGGACATGTAATCTCTAACATGAGATCATGAATATGAATAAATAAATAAATTTCAAAAATTAAAAATAATAATTCTAGTAAAAACACATTTGGACCGTTAATTACCATTGTTTTAAGATGGAACACCTACTTGTATCCATCTTTAAGATGGATGCTTTACACTTTCTAGACCGCATATGTAGAAATGCAGTTCAGCCCGCATGAAACAATTTTCCTTAAGGCCATCTCAACAAGGGTAAGTTGTATTATCTTTTTGTTTCTCTAATATCCTTGGAATTCTAAAAATTCCCTGTTTACTAAAGCTATAACAAAGTAAGAAATATATTTCAATAAAAAACAGCACACAAACACAGGCAATATCAAATTGGGAATGCAGAAGACTCAAAAATAAACTAATGAAAACAAGAAATATACCACCAATATATATATATATATATATATATATAGAGAGAGAGAGAGAGAGAGAGAAAGAGAGAGAGCTCACATCTTATTCACAATCCTCTGCCTAGAATCAGCTGAAAGCTTTGTCCTCCAGTCGTTATCCGTGCTATTCAAAAACCCAAAAATAAACAAAATTATTGTATAAACTCTCAAGAACTAAACTTTTATAAGCCTATGACCCAAACAAGAGAAAGACTATTAGTATTCCAGCCAAATCTCAATGTTCGAAATTTTCAAGAAGCCAATACTGTTTTCTTCGCCAAAAAGGAAAACCCAATTCCTGAACCCAAGGGCACTAAATACTGGAAAGCCTTAACAACTTACAAACGTTGTCTTCTCTAATGCCTAAAAAACCCCAATTTCAAATCCAAGGAATCTCAAAACTACAAAATTCTTTGCGATCGTGATCCTTTCTCCTCAATGGCCCAAAAACGAAAACCCTAAGTTTGCAATCAAAGGGTTAGGAGAGAGAGAGAGAGTTGAATAATTGAGCCACTGTGGCAATTGTAATTGTGTCAACTGAGAAGTGACTGTTAAGATTGGAATAAAGTTGTTACTGTTTCAAAAAAAAGAGAGACGGGTGGTTGACTCGGGTGAATGTAAAAGAACAATATGAAAGCAGTATTAGTATAAATGCTCTCACGGGAGCATATTGTATAATTATTCCCTCAAGATCCACTCGTGAACGAATTGAGATTGCTATGAGATCATTATTGTTGTTACAAAGTTGTCATCATTGCTGGAAGCCATCAGACGTTGAATGGTAGCCATTCGAGAATTTCTTTTCTGAGTGATTTGGTAGAGACTCTAAAGTTTTAGATAAAATACAAAATGCTCCGCGTCAACCCTTTTTTTTATTTTCAAAACTGCCCCTCAGTCAACTTGAATTTTGATTTTTTTTTTTATATTTTTGCTATTTGTTAGTAGGGCAATGCCATACAGCTTAGGGCACTGTCCTATAAACGAAAAATCAAAATCCGAGTTGATCGAGAGAAATTTGGAAAAATATAAAAAAGTGGGTTGACGACCTTCTTTGTAATTTTCGGAGCATTTCGGATTTTGCCTAAACTTGTAAGGTCACTACGTCACTCTTCTATTTTTTGAATTTTAAATGTAATCAATATATTTTCTACATATAAAACATGAGCAAGTGACTAGATATCCATCAAGAAATTCATCTTAGATTTGGAGTTTGGTAAGGATGGAGAATAAAGATAAGTAACTTAAGTTCCCATGGGAAGAATTAGCATGAGAAAGGGAAGTGTGCCCACGTGTCCATCTATCAATAGCATACAATATAGGTTAATTAGATAGGTCCTATGGAACTAATGCCAACAAAATAATATAACAGTTGATTTTATGATCTCTCACAACAAACTTTTATTAAGAACTCAAAATTTATTTATTTATTTTTAAATACACTTCTAAAAATAGATCCCCATTTTTGCATGAAATACTATTGGTAGATAGTTTTCTTGATGGACCAAATATACAATGTGTCCTTATGGGTGCACTCTAGAAAATACTAGTGTTATGCGCATGCGTCGGACGTGGCATAATTTACTTAAAAAATAATTGTTAATATGAATCACTATCACCACCATTATTATCATTAACATTACCTTATTGAATAAATAAAATATTTATTTTATTTATGGATATTATTTAATAATATACAATATAATATATTTGTTTTATTTATAGATGTTATTAAATAATATAAAATAATCATGTCTAATGAAATAACACGGATGCCACAATAATAGATTCAAACAATTCATAAAATAGTAGAAAGCTAGCTTTCTTTCTTTATTTATTTTTAAATATTTATAATTTTAATTATAAATGATTTAAAATTAGTATATAGTTAAGTTTCATCTAGATGTAAATTATTGAATAAGAATAAAAAAAAAAAGCGATGAATTTCTATGGATTGAAAACAGTACTGATTTACAAATTTATTTAATAAAGCCATAAAAAAACAGAAACGAAAAAATCCTTCTAAGGCCTAGATCTAAGCATCTTATCAAAATGGATGGCCTATGTTAAATGGGTTAAAAAATACTTTCTGGATTGTGTTTTCAAATTTTTCTTTTTTGTGAATGTTTTTAATATGAAAAGAGAGTATATTTTAAAATTATGATCATACAAATGGCCCTAACATAGTTTTTGAAGATTGTTGCATTATATTACTATACGACCGTTGCAAGAAATCATTCCCCCATATATATAGCGTAGTGATCTAATGCAATGATTGCATCTCATTGTAATACAACCACACTTCTAGAAAACCATGTTTGTGGCATTTGTATGACTCAAAATTTTGCACACACACTCTTTTCATCTCAATAATCAGTCCAAAAAAAAAAGTTCAATTTGAATCCTAGATATGGTCAAAATGAGGCCCCTCCAACAACGAATTTAGACCATTCATTTTGTGAATTTCATGATCTTATTCTTTACAAACTCAAAATCATTTTTTTCTTTGTTAATATTGTTCATCTAATGATAATGAAGTCATCTAAAAAACTTGGACATGAAAAAATCCTCCTAAGGCCTAGATCTAAGCATCTTATCAAAATGGATGGTCTATGTTAATTGGGGTTTAAAATATACTTTCGAAGTTGCGTTTTCGATTTTTTCTTTTTTGTTATTGTTCATTAGAATGAAAAGTATTTTTCTTTTTTTCTTTTTTTCTTCTTTGTTATTGTTCATTAGAAAGAAACACCACAACGTACACCACGAGTCCCCGGTGGATGGGTCGTCCCTACTGCTGTTCCCTTTCCTCTTGGAGTGATATCTACGCTGTTTACCCCAGAACCCTCCCTCATCGTCGTCCCTCGGTGATTCCTCCGCCTCCTCCTCCCCCATCCAGAGCTTCCTTTGCCCAGGTCCTTTCTTCCTCCCCTCCTGCCCCTCCAGCTAAGGTCTCTTCTCCCTCTTTTGGCTCTCATGTTCCCCCTACTGTCTCCCCTTTCTTTCCATTTTGTATCACCATCCCCTCGGAGGAGTCTGATAGCCTCTCCAAAAAGTTCTCGGCTTCCCTAGTAGGTATCTTTCACCCGAAGAGAGATGATAGTAGCGGCATTGAGCGGTGGGCTAGAAGTCTTTGGCAGGGGTCTGATTTCGTCTGTAGACGTCTGTCCAATGGTGACTTCCTTTTCTCCTTCCCTTCTCTGGAGGAAGCCAACTCCGCCCTCCGCAAGTGTCCTAATCCTTCATTCAGGGGAGCCTCCTGCTCTCTGCGGTGTTGGTCTCCTAATCGTGTCCCAATTGTTAACTTCCGCTCTTTGTATGATCATTCAGGGGAGCCTCTTGCCCTCTACGATGTTGGTCTCCTAATAGACTCTTCCATTGGGTTCTATTCATTTTGCTGATTGAAGTCTTGGACACCTCTTTGATCCCGCAGTTTGTGTGGCTTGATATCAATGGTCTATTCTACCTTGTTACTCTCTCTTGGGCTTCGGCTTCGCCACCCTCCCCCCCACTTCTTCCATAATACGCCATCGGCTCCTTGCATGGCTTTATCGCCCCAGCGATGGGAGGTGGTGACTAGGAAGAACGACAAGAGATTGCGACCTAGACGTCGTCCCCCTGAGCTTCAGCAGAAGAAGTTTTGGCGTCCCCGCCCGTCCACCGCGTTACTAGACAAGGGGGGTTGCGCCTTCTCGATCCAGGTTGGTACCCCAGCGGAAGAGGAAAACAAGGGAGACTCGCCTCTCCAAACGAGTCTTGCCATTTACTCGTCCCCTGCTTTGCCGAGTTGTGTTTCGGTTCAATGTGGCGAGTGCGAGTTTGCTCGCCGACCTGGTAAAGAGGTCCTTGTTAACTTTCATCGTCCTTTGGCCCCGACCCGAGAAGTTAGTCCATCTACCTCCTGTCCTCCACTAGTTCTCGGGCCCTCCTCTTTACCAGACCCACTTCCCTCTGCCGTCTCAGTCCTTCCCCTTTCAACCGCCCCTCTCCCCTCTCAGCTGGAGGCCACGTGTCCCTCCTTTTCACCTACCCTTGTGCTCCCATCGGCTGCCTCGACTTCCACACGTCTGTCTCAGCCGCCTTCTCTCCCCCATTTATCGCACTCAGATCGGCCACTTTGGGAGGAGCACTTGAGTGCTGCATAGCTGTCCCTGTCCCAGCCGGACCCCCCTTGTCTCCCCTCCAGATGGCTCCCGTGGGAGTTTCCTCCCCCCTATCAACCCCCTGTGTTCTTGTGGTTCCCTTTCTTCCTGCTAGCGTTGTCTGACCCGGCCCATGCTCCCGATCCCCCTGGGCCCTGTGACTCCATTCTCCTTGAGCCGTCTTATCATTGTCAGCTGGCTCCCGTCTGGACTTCCTTCGAGAGGGTTCCTTCGCCACCTTTGTCCCCTTGCCTCCCTTCCCCAAAGACTGTCTCCCCTGGGTTAGTGTGCCAGTCGGCCACACCTACTTTATCACCTGGGTTCTCCTCTCCTCTCTCCCCAGCCTCTTCGTTTGTGTGTCAGCCGGGTACTCATTCTCTCCCTCTTGAGCCCTTAACTCTCCTTTTGGGTCAGTAACCCACATCCCCCTCCCCTCCTCCTCTGATCCTTGAGCCTACGCTTGTTTCCCCCTCCAGCCCCCCCTCCCCTTCCCCCTCCCCTCCTCCTCTGATCCTAGAGCCTACTCTTGTTTCCCCCTCCAGCCCCCCCTCCCCTTCCCCCTCCCCTCAGGTGCCCTGCAGTGACTCGAGCTCTTCTCTGAACCTGTCAACCTCCTTATGTGCTGGCTCTCTACACTCCCCTCGTTCTCTCTCTCTCTCTCTCTTTCTACGCTTTTAACCTCGATCACCCCTTTCCCTTTGGCCTTGAACCTTCTAACCTTATTAAGATGAATCGAGACTTTCTCCTAGTGGGCATCGCCCCAGCCCAGTCACTGGACCCATCTCCTCCTGACCTGTCCTCTATTGCTAACTTCCTAGCCCCGCATCTCTCTTTTACCCCTCATCTTGTCCATATTCATAGGGCCCACACGATTCACGTTGTTTGGCCCCCTAACTACCCCTTCTACTTTCCTCCTTCACCACCGTCCAGACTCACCAGTTTCTTACCTTAGTCCCTAACTTCTCCCTCCTTCCCAACGTGTTACCCCCCTCTCCCTCTCTTTACCCTCTGTCCCCTGGTGCTCTTGTTCAGGAGGCCACTCCAATCTTTGTCCCTCCTCAGCCACCCCTCTCTGTTTCCCCCCCTAGCCGTTCTCTCCCTCCTGAGGGGTCCTCAAGGAACTCACAGTTTTCCCCTCTGATATCTGTCAATACTGGCCTGAATCTTCCTCCCTCCTCGCCCCTTCCTTTTGATCTCTACCCTTCGATCGACCCCCCTTCCCTCTCTCCAGGTGTTCATGTTTCGCAATCGCCCGCCTCCTTGGATCAGCAGGCACACTCAGTGGCAGATGATGATGTTGAAGACAGGAGTACCTCAGAGGAAGACAGGATGAGAACCATGTACAGGATTATGGGTTTTGAATACAAGGGTCCTGAAGGCTCTGTTCACAAATTCCTTTCGACAGATGCACAGAGCAGGATGCAGGTGAGAATAAGAGGGCAAAGAGAGCTTTGCAACCTCTTCTCTTCTCTCCCTTTTCCAGGAAAAGCTATTGAACTCTCCCCCTTCAACTCCACCCCAGGCTGCCCGAGGAGGTCTCCCAAATTGGTCTCCTCCCTTGCTCTCATCCCCTATAAATGAAGATTCTAATTTGGAACATCAGAGGGGTCCTCAAAGAAAGATGCGGCCAAAGCCCTCTCCCTCAAACATTCCCCTACTATCTTAGCACTAATTGAAACCAAACTTCTTGAACCTGACCTCCAGCTTATCCGTAAGATTGGGGTAGGAGACCCTGCCAGTGAGTCTCATTACTGGCGAACGGGCTTCAGGAGGGATCTGCGTGGTCTGGGACCCTTATGATCTCTCACTCACCTCCCACTTCTTGGAGGAATTCTCTGTCACCCTTCTTCTATCCAACATCTCTGATGGTGTCTAGTGGAAGTTTTCTGCTCTTTATGGTCCTAACTCCAATACCATCAGACAAAGACTCTGGCAAGAATTAGACCATATTGCTTCCCTTCCTCACCAAGTTTGGCGTGTGGGGGGAGACTTCAATGTGGTTCGTTGGTCTCACGAGAGGAATTCCTCTTCCACCATCTCCCCGGAAATGAGGGACTTCTCAGATTTCATTAGCCGGAACGAGCTAATTTACATCCCCCACAAAGGATGCCAATTTACTTGGTCCAACCAAAGCATCAATCCCACCCTCTCAAAACTTGATAGATTTCTCGTTTCGGTCAATTGGGAGGAATAATTCCCAACTTCGTCGTCTTTGGCCCTTCCCAAGCCCACCTCCGACCATTCCCCTATACTATTGGACACAAATGATATTATCAAGGGTCCCCGTCCTTTCAAATTTGAAATGCAATGGCTTCAAGAAAAGGATCTACCTGCCCTTATACGAACCTGGTGGAACTCCTTTAATTCTCAAGTCTCGGGGAGAGCGGGCTTCATCCTCCAAAAGAAAATTCAGCTTCTTAAATTTGCTCTCAAAGCTTGGAGCTCTAAGCTTCCTGTTAATTTTTCGCACTTGAAGGCTTCCCTTTTGGAAACCATTAAGAATCTAGACTCTATTGAAGAATCGAGATCTTTAAATAACTCTGGACAGGTGCTTAAGTCCAAGTCCAAGTTGGAGTATCTCGCTATTGTTAAAAAAGAAGAAATCTACAGAGATCCAAGGTCTGGTTGAAAGCTAGGGACAATAACATTGGCTTTTTCCATCGAATTGCAAATTGTCGTTGTAGAGACAATGCCATCTCGATACTGAAAGTCAACAATTCCTATTTGACTCGGCCTTGTGAAATTCAACGAGCCATCCTCGATTTCTTCAAGAATTTGTACTCTACTCCCCCTGAACCTAGACCTAGATTCTCGACCCTTGACTTCCTGACTCTCAATGTAATCCAAGTTGCCTGGTTAGAGCGGCCCTTCTCAGAACAGGAGATCTGTAAAGCTATCACTGAGTTAGGGAGTGACAAGGCCCCGGGGCCAGATGGCTTTCCGGTTGCCCCCTTTAAGGAGTTATGGGATACGCTTCGTCTTGACTTTGTAAAGTTCTTTGATGAATTCTTTGAAAGGGGTATCCTAAACAAAGCCATGAATGCTACTCCTTGCCCTTGTCCCTAAGAAAGAAGGAGCAGAGGAAATTAAAGATTTCAAGCCTATCAGCCTTCTCAATTCTTCTTATAAGATCCTGGCTAAAGTCCTTGCTTCCAGGCTGAAAAATGTCTTGCCTTCCATCGTTTCTCTTTCTCAATGTTCCTTCATCAAAGGCAGACAAGTCTTAGATGGGGCCTTAGTGGCCCATGAGTGTGTCCACTCGAGACACCTTTCCAAGAGACCAAGACTCATCTTCAAAATTGACTAGGAAAAGGCTTATGGCCATGTTGACTGGTCAGACCTGAATGAGTCCATGACTAGGATGGGTTTCGGAGAGAGATGGAGAAAGTGGATGAGTGGTTGCTTCTATATCCCCTATTTCTTTATCTTCATCAATGGAACCCCAGTTGGCTTTTTTCCCTCTTTGAGGGGGGTTAAGACAAGGAGACCCCATCTCGCCCTTTCTTTTTGTTATTGCAGCAGAAGTCTTCAGTCGATCCATCTCTCGGCTCTACCAAGCTGGCCTCCTTTCAGGCTTTAAAACCAGCAGGAACGGGCCCACAGTTTCCCACCTTTAGTACGCAGACGATACCCTCATATTCCTAGATGCCACTCGAAAGGAAGTTAACACCCTCAAAAGGTTCCTCCGTTGCTTCCAAACAGCGACTGAGTTTAAGATAAACATGAATGAATCCAGTATGTTGGGGGTCGCCTTGTCTGCTGAAGAAAATCGATCTCTCATTCCAGCTTGGGAATGTAAAGTCTAGGTCCTCCCTACCACTTACCTCTGGCTCCCACTGGGGGTTGGTAAGCCTAAAAAGCAGCATTGGTCCCCAGTTCTTAACAAGGTTGATCACCGCTTGGCAAGACGGAAAGGAAGATTCCTGTTGTTGTCGGGAAGAAACAACTTGATCAAAGCTACCTTAGCTAACTCCCCGATTTACTTAATGACGCTTTTCCATATGCCGGCGCAGGTGGCCCATCGACTCAACCAACTCATGAGAAACTTCCTTTGGCCAGGAAGATAAGAAGTTTCATCTTGTAGCCTGGGATAAGTTCTGCCAACCTAAAGACAAGGGTGGCTTGGGGATTAAGGTCATTCGCAAACACGCCGCCCTTCTGGGAAAATTGCACTGTGGGCCTAGGTGGTTATGCATAAGTACAATATCCCTATACAATCTTGGCTACCAGGATCACTGAAAAAGGCATAATGGGTTAGGTATCTAGAAGTCTCTTTTAACAGTGCTAGCCACTTTCAAGAGCCACACTAGGTTCCTTCTGAGAGAAGGCTCCAAGGTTAAATTCTGGCAGGACCTTTAGTTAGGCCCTTCCCCGATTTGTGTCGTCTTCCCGTCCCTTTACTCTCTTGCGCATGACCAGGACTCTTCTATAGCCCAGGAGCTTTGTAGCGTGGGAGGACATAGAGTCTGGAATCCCACTTTTAGAAAGAATCTAACTGAATCGGAAACATTTGATTTTCAGCGCCTCTCGCAGACCCTCCACTCTCTCTTTCTCCCCTCCCATGGAAGAGATGAACTTGTCTGGACTCTGAACCCCTTGGGTAAGTTCTCAGTTGCCTCTTTCTATAAAAGCCTCACACTCTCTCCTTCCACCCTTGTGCCCTTCTCTAAAATTTGGTCTTCGATTGCTCCACCAAAAGTGCAGACCTTCCAGTGGCTAGCTTTCTCACATAGGGTCCTTACAGTGGATAATCTACAGAAAAGAAGGATCCCTATCCTGAATAGATGTGCCCTGTGTGAATGTGAGGAGGAAAGCAACCATCACCTTTTCCTTCTTTGTGATTTCTCTTATGACCTATGGGGAAGGGTACTGCAACTTTTTGGGATACGTGGGGTTACCCCCCCCTCAATTAAAGCCCTCCTTACCTGCAATTTTGATTCTTGTTGGCCTAAGGCAGGTCGTATCCTGTGGAAGGCGACTGTTATGGCTACAATATGGGTTGTGGCTGGAAAGAAATTCCAGAATTTTCTGTGGCTCCAAACTTCAAACTTAGGCTCTCTTGTCCAAGGTAACCACCCTGGTTACGTTCTGGGCTTCAAATCATAAATTCTTGAGAGGAATTCCTCAGACCTTCTTCTTCACTCATTGGGGTGATATCCTTTATCATCAACCACAAAGGGTTAGTAGGTCAAGCTTCTAACTTCCACTTTCTCAAGGAACCATCAAGCTAAACTTTGATGGTTGCTCCTTGGGGAACCCTGGTCCAGCAGGGGCAGGAGGCGTTTATCGAGATCATGAGGGCAATATACTCCTCTCTATCTCTCAATTCCTGGGCTTTAAGGACTTTCTATCCATGCTAAAGCACTAGCCGTCCTTCTAGCTTTGAAAAAATTCAACCCATCCTGGGGTTTAACTCTGATAGTGGAAGGCGACTCCAAAAATGTTATCTCTTGGGCTAGCAGAACGTGCGATCCACCTAGGTATTTGTCCCCAGGCAATATCAAATTGGGAATGCATAAGACTACAAAAATAAACAATGAAAACAAGAAATTCACCTACTAATATATATATCTATATATATATAAAGAGAGAGAGAGAGGGCTCACATCTTATTCACAATCCTCTGCCTAAGATCAGCTGAAAGCTCCGTCCTCCAATCGTTAGCATCCCTTAGAACGACATCACCCTCGCCTTGAGGGGGCATCCAACCACCTTTATCCATCCTACTCAAAAACCCAAAAATAAACAAAAATATTGTATAAAATCTGGAGAACTAAACTTTTATAACCCTGTCACCCAAACAAGAGAAAGACTATCACTATTCCAGCCAACTCTCAGAGCTCGAAAATTTCAAGAAGCCAATAATGTTTTCTTCCCCAAAAAGGAAAACCAATTCCTGATCCCAAGGGCTCTAAATACTGGAAAACCTTAACAACCTACAAACGTTGTCTTCTCTATTGCCTAAAAAAACCGAATTTCAAATCCAAAGACTCTCAAAACTACAAAATTCAACCGCTCATGATCCTTTCTCCTCGATGGCCCAAAAACGAAAACCCTAAGTTTGCAATCAGAGTGTTAAGAGAGAGAGAGAGAGAGAGAGATTTTGAATAATTGAGCCACCGTAACAATTGTAATTGTGAGAATTAAGAAGTGACTGTTAAGATTGGAATAAAGTTGTTACTGTTACAAAAAAAAAGAGAGATGGGTGGATGACTCGGGCGCATATAAAAGAACAGTAAGAAGAAGTATCAGTATAAATGCTCTCACAGAAGCATATTGTATACTTATTCCCTTAGAATCCACTCGAGGATGAATTGCCATTGCTATGAGATCATTATTGTTGTTACAAAGAGGTCATCATTGTTGGTAGCCATGAGACGTTGCATGGTAGCCATTCAAGAATTCTTTTCTGAGTGATTCATTGGAGACACTAAAGTTTCAGATAAAATACAAATGCTCACGTCAACGCTCTTTTTTCTTTCAAAACTGCCCCTCAATCAACTTGAATTTTGATTTTTTTTTATATATTTTTGCTTTCCGTCAGTAGGGCAGTGCCATAAAGCTTGGGGCACTGTCCTACAAACGAAAAATCAAAATCCAAGTTGATCGTGGGCAATTTTGGAAAAATATAAAAAAAGTGGGTTGACGATCTTCTTTGTAATTTTTGGAGCTTTTTGTATTTTACCTAAAATTTTTTGGTTAGTATGTCACTCTTTTTTTAAAAAAATTTTAAATGTAATCAATATATTTTCTATATATAAAACATGAGCAAGTGACTAGAAGTCCATCAAAAAATTCATCTTAGATTTGGAGTTTGGTAAGGATGGAGAATAAAGATTAGTAACTCAAGTTCCCATGGGAAGAATTAGCATGAGAAAGCGAAGTGTGCCCACCTGTCCATCTATCAATAGCATACAATATAGGTTAATTAGATAGGTCCAATGGAACTATAATACCAACAAAATAATATAGAAGTTGATTTTATGATCTCTCACAACAAACTTTTATTAAGAACTCAAAATTTATTTATTTTCTTTAAATACACATCTAGAAATAGATCCCCATATTTACATGAAATACTATTGGTAGATAGTTCTCTTGATGGAACAAATCTACAATGTGTCCTTATGGGTGCACTTTAAAAAATACTAGTGTTATGCACAAGCGTTGGACGTGGTATAATTTAATTAAAATATAATTGTTAATATTAATCACCATCACCACCATTATTATCATTAGCATTATCTTATTGAATAAATAAAATATTTATTTTATTTATAGATATTATTTAATAATATATAATATGATATATTTATTTTATTTATAGTTATTATTAAATATATAAAATAATCATGTATAATGAAATAACACCGACACCACAATAATAGATTCAACCGAAAGATAAAATACTAGAAAGAAAGCTTTCTTTCTTTATTTATTTTTAAATCATTTATAATTAATCAAGCTTTCTTTCTTTACTTACTTTTAAATATTTATAATTTTAATTATAAATGATTTAAAACTAGTATATATAAGTCTCAATAAGATATAAATCATTGAATAAAAATTTTAAAAAAAGACACAAATTTCTAAGGATTGAAAATAGTACTGATTTAAAAATTTATTATTATAAAGCCACCAAAAAAAATTGGAAACGAAAAAATCCTTTTATGGCCTATATCTAAGCATCTTATCATAATGCACGACCTATGTTAAAAGGGTTAAAAAAATACTTTCTAGATTGTGTTTTCAATTTTTTCTTTATTGTGATTATTCATTAGAATGAAAACAAAGTATCTTTTAAAATTATGATCAAACAAATGCCCCTATCATAGTTTTTGAAGATTGTTGCATTATATTACTATACAACTGTCGCTTGAAATCACTACCCATATATATACATACATACATACATATATACAAACATACGTACATATATATATATATATAAACATATATAAATACATAGACATATATACATATAAACATATATAAATACATACACATATATACATATATATAACATATATAAATACATACACATATATACATATACATATATATATATATATATATATATATATGGAAAATCTTCTTGCTAGCCTAAGGGCTAACAGGAAGATATGAGCTCAACGGCTCAGAATAAATCTGGGCCGATCTGTTGGTCATGACCTCATTTCGTGTTTGAATTTTAATGTTTTTTTTATAAATCCAAATCACTTGAAATTTTAGGCGTGTGTTCTTCTCAGCAGGCAGCACTTAATAAAAATATAAAAAAATAATCCTCAAAAAATAAATTGACCAAAATACCCCTGAAACTTTACAGGGGTATTTTGGTCAATTTTTTCAAGTAAAAATTTTTTTGAAGATACACCTATTTTTGATGAACACACACCAAAAATTTCAATTGATTTGAATTTGTAGAGAAAAAAATGAAAATTTAAACACTATCGAGTATTTGTGATCGTCAGATCGGCACAGATTCAATCTGGGCCTTTGGGCTCATATCTTCCTGTTAGCCCTTGGTCTAAGGGTAGCATCATCCTATATATATATATATATATATATAAGAACAGTATTTCTTGCACATAAGTAAAAAAATTTCTGTACTTGACAAATGTTCACCTTAATCTTGCATATGTTGGTTTTTCTCCAGTAGGGTTTGATGCCGTAGAATTCCCCATGGAAGATTCTGTCTCCAAAGTGAGCATCTTTAGAGATATTTTCCCCAAATAATCTGCCTGGAAATCAATAATTTAGAGATGAGAAATGTGAATATTGAAATTCTCATAAGGGACTAACATTTATGAGTATAAAGCATCCAACTAATCACGATATACAGGATTAGGTATAGAATCATAAGCATAAATATTTAATAAGTTACTCACGAATAACTATACCAAAACACACAAATTTCTTGTTTCAAAATTAACACTCAAGTCTCGACAAACCATCAACTTAACAACCAATAACCATGATACCTTCTACTCTCTCTCTACTCTTTTAATTTCCACGGCCTGCTTATTAAGATAATCAATTGTTCCAATAATCATTCAGTCTAACTAATTCTCCTTAATAAGTGCTAAAAGTTTATATGGATGGGAAGCGTATTGAGCCCACTCAATAGTTAAGCTCTAAGCGTGTAAGCCGGATTCTTCCAAAACAACTAAGCCGGATTCCACTAAAAAGGTTGGGTCGGTTAGTAATATTATACATTAGTTCATGCAAACAATAAAATCGGATATCAATCATATAAAAAGAAAATGTCGGGCCTGTCAAAGTTCACAAGCAGTTCAGTTAAATTATTTTATTCAGTGATATTTCTTTTCTCAACCTGTTCACAAAGCTGGTCACTAATTCTTTGATTCACTCCCAGCATATGCCATCCCAAACCTACACAAGGGTAGATTTTCTTTTCTTTGCTTATTTACACAGTTTGCCATGTCAAGGGTTGGTGGGGAGAGGTTTTAAGGCTAGCAAGTATATGACGTATAGAATTTCTCCCCAGTTAACAACTTGCAAAATCAAGAGGAACCACAAAAAGCCATTCCAGTTTCCTAAACTACCAAATGAACAAAAACTAGTCTTTATTTGAACTGCAAAACATCAACACACTGAAACAGCTCTAACATTAAACCCATACATTAAAAAACATTAAAAAAAATATCATCCCGAAGTTGAACAACTGAGAAAGGAAAAATAAAGAAAATGAATGGAACCAAAAAAGAATGGCAACAGAACCATCTATCTGTGTGGCATTATGTGTACACATGACAAATACCCAGGATGCATGTAGCATGCACATGTAAATACGTAGGTATACGTGCATGATTATTGATGCATGCCTGTCCATATGCACAATACTCAAATAAAAGGATGTTATTTGTAATAGAAATATCTAAATATACAAAATAATTATCAAAAACATTATGTATGACGCAGTTTAGAAGCCAAATTTAAAAACCTTCAAGACACAATGTCATTTGCAGGGATTTACCCACTAAAATTTTGTAGGGCTTCAATGATTATCTGCTAACCAGAGCAAATAAGTAGTGTTTGTCTCACACGATACTGACATATACACTTCTATCTTACATACCCAATTGAATGATACAATTCAGTGTGAACCCAATTCTAGATTCACATTGCCATATTCTCATATTTCATTCCAAATAAGACTTCCAAGTTGGCAAATTTAATAGGGATATAAAACTGTAGAATGAGATGAAATTTCTCGATACGAAGTGAAAAAGATGAAGAAAAGGAAGGGAAACCAAGAAAACAATCACTAGGTATCCACAACTAAAAATATAAATTACAGATTGACAAGGAGAGAAAGGAGAACCTGGTTCTCAGCATTAGTAAAGATCTTCTCTTCAAATCTTGCAGCAATTTTCGTGAGTACAGACAGTCCATCAGGGTCACCTGCTGGCAAGTGTCTCTTAAGAGTTTCCATTCTGCAAATGAAAAACAGTAAAGGCCATCAACTAGAGCAGTAGAGCTTGTGGTTTTATGGATCAAGCCATTTAATATTTAAGGAAAATCCTCCAATATCCGATGAAGACCTGAGATTAATACTAATTAGCCATCAATCCCGAAGACTCACTCCCTAAAAGAAACGTTTATACGTTACACTATCATTAACCGATCAAAACAACACCTGCTGATCCAAGGCCAAAACAATACCTACTGATAACAACCAAACCTAACCCAGGGTCTTTTGAATGCCCTTCCTTGGCTTGCGGCAGGCTCAGAGCCACCACCAAAGTTCCTCACAAGTAGGAGAACGGGACTAAACGGGGTACCTTTCTAAGCTAAGGAATATATACTCTTAACTATATCGTCTTCTAGGGCGGTCTTGTAAACAAGGGAGCTAATACAGGAATGACCCCCATTACCACAGTTCCTAAGGGAGATGGAACCCTCCTAGCTACGCTCCCCACCGGCATCCATTTGTTCGATCGAAGATTCATACGCATATCAAGACCCAGTCGAAATGGCACTACCCACTTGAAGGTGGGGGTACAGCCAATTCAAGATCCTTCTATTGCTGCATATCGAGATGAATATGGACTGCACGCGCCGGTAGTAGCCTTTCTCATACAATGAATAGACAAGTTTATTCTCCAGTCGAGGCTTGATCCAAGCTCTTGATTGTCGTTCTAAGAACAGTTCCACCATTGCATATGGAACAATGTTGCACTGGCCGATAGTAGCGGCCAAAACCAATATTAATGTTGTAGTATTGCCTCTGGTATTGCTCAATCCTACTCTCAATTCCTAGGCCAAGTGTATGTCACCAACGCAAAAAGAAATTTCAAATGTAAATAATTGAATATAGCCAATCAACATATAGGCAAATAGCCATTACAAAGATCCAATGTTCAAACTTTTGGGGGAAAGCATAACAATAAAGAGATGTTCACGATCATTTATAAATACTCTATATTCCCAAATGATTAAGATAAGGACCCGGTTTATATGCGACCAAGCCCTCATACATAGAAATGCGGGGCTCTTAATAAATCTATTTTTGAGATGGATTTTGAAACTTAATTTTTAAGAACATGTAATCTCTAACATGGAGATCATGAATATGAATAAATAAATAAATTTCAAAAATTAAAAATAATAATTCTAGTAAGAAAACATTTGGACCATTAGTTACCACTGTTTTTAGATGGAACACGTACTTGCATCCATCTCTAAAA